TACACTCCCATTTTTCTTGCACCTATCTGTGCTTCCTTACGAGGGCATACTATCTCTCCCAGTTTCCTTGCACGTTCCTTACGTAGCCTTGTTCAACTTTGCTTTTTTTAGCAGGAGAATATGAGTCCCTGAAGTTAGAGTCCTTCCTTCGTATGGGTTGTCTGTTCATGGGGCTCCTGTTTCAGAGGTTCCAAAGGTTGAAGGTTTTTTTTTTCATTTCTCTAGCCTGTGTCCTATTCATAAGGCTACCTGCACAAATGTCTCCTGGCATATCTCATAAGGTAGAGCCTACCGAAAGGAAAATTCCTTTATCTTGTGCTGAGATGATGTCTGTCTGACATACCCAAACCTTTTTCTTTATCCTGGCATACCCGGACTTAAGTTTTCCTTGAGGAAGAGGATCTTCAGAGACAAATAAGAAATTATGCTGTGAAAGAACAAGTGTGCTGTATGTTACGGGTAATGACTAAAATTACTTTTTCCAGACTCTATCATGCAACTGCTTTGGGTTTTTTTATCTCCATTATAACCAGAAAGGCATTTTTCGTCAGCCTATCAAACAAGACATTCTCAAGTGGTACATTACGTAACTTAAAACTTTGGCTATGGCCTTTATTTTACATTCTTCCATTTCAGAACAAGCTTACTATTTCTAATGATTTCTCTAACTTCATCTTGAAAAAATTTGGAAGAGTAGATCACAATTTGTCATTATAGTGATGAATACTTTTTTTTTTTTTTTTTTAAACTATATTGTGATGAGTTGAGTATTGGGTCAATCTGGAATATTCCATCATTGATCTCTCTTGATGTCCAAATTGGGGTGGTGCTTGCAACTGAAAATCTCTTACTAGCAAAGATAGCAAATCTCTATCTCAAAGATAGAAAATCTTTTACTAGCAAAGAGAAAATCATAGAACAGAAAAGAGACACCTAGCAACAGCTAAGATTCCCAGGCATTACAAGAAACAAAAGTAGAAGCTACTGCAATAGCAAAACAGTACTCAATTTGCTTTTTGTCACTGAATATGAAACTTTGATTTTTTTTCTTTCGGAAAAGTTTCCTGTTGCAGACATTGATGTGTGGCTAGTGTACCTTTGCTGAGCCAGAAAACCTGCGCCTTGCACATAAATACAAATTTTCATTCTGTTAGTTTTAGCACAAGAGTTGTATGAATGGTTTCCCTATGCATGCAAGGTAAATGTAGCCAATTGACATAGCTAAGTTGCATTACTAAATTCTTAGAAAATAGATCATAACAGCCTGCTGTAATTCTAAAATAGTCATGGTAAAACAGCGAAGCAAGTTGGAACATGCCCTTTTGCTCCATCTCCTTATTTCTTTGTAAAACTGCTGAGTGCAGTATTCTGTAGTTCTTTCTATTGCCCTTGGTTATGTAGGGAAGCTCTACAGGAAAGTTTGCTGATGAAATCACAGCTACTAACTGAAAATTTTCAAGCAAAAAGTAACAAAGCTAAATCAGTGGTTTGTTTTCTTTTCTTTCTGAGTAGCTCAAGAATATTTTCTGCAGGATCTAGGACATAAGTTTCTGTCTTAGACTACTTACACAAAGTCCAGGGGGGGTTCCAGGTAGTTAGCTAAAACTTGCTTTTAGAAAGAACTAAAAAATCTAAACAGCAAACACTTTGACTCATTATTTTGGGAACTTGTGTAGAATGTATTGATGTCACAATTACACAAGCAATTTCTGTGATTCTTCAGAATGCTTATTTGAATTGTAGCCTATGCATTGGCCAGAAGTACAACAACTGAAGTAATAATGGGCAAATGTCTCTCTGTGCGTGTACACGTACATCTAAAAATCCTTCTTGCTTGCTGGTAGTTCTCAAGAGCATTGGCAAACAAAATTTTAATTAACAATCTGTTTTCTTCTAACTATTTCAGCTTTTGGAGGCTGAGACTATCTTGCGTTTCTTAATTTGGTTCTAGTGTGAATTTTACACCAGACTTGATAGGTGATATCCTTGTTCTTGTGAAAGATTATCTACTCTTAAGCTTTTTGCAAATAAGTACCAATAATAATAATAACAACAGTAAATAATAATCTAGGAATAATAAACCCTGAGATCACGCTGTAGTGTAACAATGAATGACCTTTTTTTTTTTTTTTTTTAAATAAAGCCAAATTTTCCTGTAGGTGCCTGTGATGGTTCTGGAATGATTGATTATAACCTGTTAATAGTTTGTATCAAAATAACCTGGAATTTTTATTCTTCAAATTAATGATGCAAGTCTAGAAACCATTATGTCCACATGAGAGAGATAAAATTTTAAATTCAGCTCAGTGCAAAATTAACAATAATACAATTTTATGAAAACTTACATGGCTTGTGTAACTGCTTTGGGCAATTCTTTTGTTGGATAGAGTTTTAAGCCAGACAGTTATAGCTAAAGATTGCACAGGAATCAATGTTTTAAAGCACAAAATTATTTTTTAATGTAATGCAATCCAGACCTTTTTAACGGCTTTGCACCTAGATGAAACCTACCATCTGAAAGCCAGAGTAACGTCTAATAGGTCCAGAGCTCTTGACTGAAAATGCATGTAATCCAAGAAAAACTGTTTTAGACTTCTATGTGGCATAGTCAGCTTGGGTTGTAACATAAAGGTACCAGTGAAGAAGCTTGAAGTATGTGCTTGTTTGCAGACGTATTAGGCGAGTTAGATGGATGAAACATCCATCCAGAGGGATTTTGGGGTTTTTTTTCTGTGAGTGATTTGTTAGTAGTCCTCACAAAACTATCTGCGTTAAAATCTGACTTTACGCTTTCTTTGATATAAAACTGAGCATTTGGTCAAGTCAGACAGTGAAGTAGGGCTCTCCGTTCCGTGGAACCACAAAAGGAAAGGCTAAATGTGCTGCACATACGGCCAGCATCCAGCACCAGGAGCAAAATGACAAGAAGAGACCAGATACGCATTTGCAGCGCTACATGTGAACGTGGCCGCACCAACCGTTGAAGCTTTGGAGCGCTGTGCTCACTGAAAGCACTCTGTAACGTGTTTTGGATTTAAGATCTCTCCCTCCCATCTAATGGAGCAATTGTTTGTGCAGTAGAAGTTATTTCAGGAAAGCGTGGCACCTTTTTTGTCTCCAGTGCAGTAGGACGTGTCATGGCTGCTCCCCGCCTCCCAGCTGTATGTTTTGTGAGTATGAGGGTGGCTAAGTTGGGGGGAAGTTCCTGAAATGTGACGCTCCAGCATAATTTACATAAGATTGCAGCTGCCACAGAAAAGCTGGGCTAAGTGCCAAACTATTCTCCATAGACCACAGTCTCTTTTACACCACAGCTTTAAAACCAGTAACCGATACGACTGGTGGGTTTTGTTCTACTGCTGCAGCAGGTTCGGAGACATCCGACCCCAACCGATGCTTGTGGCCACCCGCCCCCAAAAGGAGAACTTTGATCAGCGGCACATCACTGTTTTTGTGAAATCTTGTTTACTTTCTGGAAACACATTTGGGCTGGTAGGGCAGTGATCATAACAGCTCATGAAATTTAGCTTCTGGTACATCAGGGGTTTTGTGGGGACCTAACAAGGAAACAGGCAGTGATCGAGGCTAGTCTTGAGACATATGGGGTGATCTGTTTTCACTAGCTTTTAGATAACTTTCTTAAAAATACTTACAGTTGGTGCGTACCACCACTTGTGTTGTGACTGGTGCTGGCAGAGTTGTACTGATGCAGGCTTAGGCTGAGAGATTGACTTGATTTCCTCAGTATATTAGCAGTGTATTCAAATTCTTTCTTCCATTGTCGCCTTCATACAGAAAATGTCCTTGTTATTCCTGAAGTTCATGGCTGTGTACTACTTAAGTTTAATTTTTCTCATCTGTTTACAATAGTCTTATTCTTCCTAGATGATACTCCTTAGTGATAGCAATACCTCCCATTCACTTTAACAGTGAATTAACAATCTCTATTAACTGTTATTAGATGAAATTTTGTCCTTGAAAAAAAAAAACCAACC